TAACAGAAATTATCATAAATTTAGATCACGGTTGTGTCCCAGTTCCACATAATCATATTATTTATAATACACTCATCTAATATCTCTCCATATTAACAATGCGCATAACACTATTTCATTCTTAATGGGAATGACATGTATTATTAATGTTTTAATTAAAAATTCTGAAACTTTAATTAAATTCATTACAAACACGTTTCGATTATTATCCTTGAATATTATCATTGAATATTATCATCCCGTATATAACTCGTATATACAATATTTAATGTTACATAAATAAGCACGAAATTTTCAATGATATTCACAAAATATTCAATAATATATACACATAAATAATGAAATTTCTCTTTTATAATATAGATAATAATATCCTTTATTAAATCATATGTTTTTAGGACACTATTCCTAACAAATATAGATAATCATGTAGAATTATTTTTGTATCGGATATATTTTCAAATGGTTTTTAATGTTATTTAGACTGTTTTGGATTTTGAATTATGTACTTGAAGGCGTGAACTCTTTGGCCACGTCGGCCTAATATACATTGGGATATTGTATCCTTGGGATGATGACCCAGAATCTGATCGGGGCCACTGATATAGTGATTGGCCTTGGAATAGTAAAATAAGTAGATATGATTTACCATAAAAGAGTTTAATGTTTGAAAGAGCTTATTTGTCCTTTATTTGTTATTTATTTGCTTAATTATTATTTTTTTCTATTTATTTATACATTTTATTTACATATTCTACTGAGCATTTCGCTCACTTTTAGTGTTTTAAATTTTTCTCCTCCCAGGTTATGTGGATCTTTCGAGATAACAATTTTACTTTGTACAGTGAAGCGGTGCTAGTTGCTCATAGAGATTTCAATAAGATGGTTTCAGGTATAAGTTAGTTAAGTTTTCAGTATTTTTGTTATTGTTGTACAATAACAGTGCTGTACGTTTAGTCCCGATGTTGTGTAGAATTTTATATTCATAATGTTTTAATTATTTATGGATATTTAAGCTCTCACGAGACAGTAATGTTATTATTGTTTTTAAATCATTCTTGTTTTTAACGGATTTAGGTGATTTAAATATGGGTTTATTTTACCTTTAATTTTAATTTAGTCACGGGCATGACAATACCGTACTAGTAAGATGAGAAAAAATGAGCACCAAATTTGCGGCAAAAACCACAAAGCATAGAAGTGCAAAACTCAATACCAAATAGTAAATGTCGGCCTCGTTCACTTTGCTGATTCGAGTTTAGAATTCGAGTTGAGATGTGACTTTATGTGAGAGCTTTTTACTGTAGCAAAAAAGTTAGATGTGATTGTTTGTGAGCTCTCATTACTGTAGCAAAAAAGTTAAATGTGATTGTTTGTGAGAGCTTTTTACTGTAGAAAAACTCGAATTCTAAACTCAAATCAGCAAAGTGAACAGGGTATCGTGTAAAGGGCTTTTCTATTAGTCTGTTTACAAAAGTATTTCGTTTTCAACATAATATTTTTGAACGTTGATAGAGTGGACCCCTTATGCCCACAGGTAACGTACAACCAAACTTATTCCAAAGTGGACCGCTTAACCTTCTTGTTATTTTTCTTTTATCTCTTTATATATATTATCACAAGACAATATTAATTTATGTGTTCAGTACAATTTGCATTTGCATTTGGTGTTATTCTAATTTCTATCCATTAAGCTTAACTATATTATTATAACTAAATCATATTCTTTGTATCTTAGAGACATGAAGAAATATGTAGACATAAATATTATTATACAAGATGAAATTCATTCTTTATTGAGAACGAAGAAAGTAAATAATTCTCTTGAGAAATGATTCGGTACTTGGATTAATAAGAGTTTTTATTCATAAATTTATTTTATGAATATTATTCATTAGAGAATCAACGGTTATCAAGAATAAATATGTAATTAGAGATGTTAGCGAATTTCACTTAGCTCTAATTATGAATTATTTAGGGATGATTGATCCATATAAAATGACTATATCAAATGGGCGTTTTTAAACACAAACGTCTTGCAAATATTACGAGGATTACGTGGGGACTCATGGACCTATCATTCTAAGCTCCAATAAAATTAATAATTAATTAAACTCTTTAATTAATTAATTAATTCTATTAATTCTAAAAGTTACTCCACTAAAAACTTAGAATTGCACTCTCGAAATTGCAAACATAATTTACTTCTAAGAAGTTGAAGTGTCCATTTGATATAGTCACTACATAGAGATCAATCCTGAATAAATAATTCATAATTAGAGCTATGTAATATATGTTAACCTCTCTAGTAACATCTTTATCCTTGAGTACCATTGATTCTCTAATGAATAGTATATTCATAAAATTAATTCATGAATACGAGCATGTTACTTATTCAAGTACTGAATCAACCTTCAAAGGAATTATTTATCTGTTTCTGAATTCAAGAAGGAATGGATTCTATCTAGTATATTAATATTCTCGGCTTCCTACTTCATCACGTCTCCAAGATACAAGGAATCAGATTTAAAATCTCAAAATTTGTACTGAGTAAGTCAAAAAACGCAAATCTATAAATAGGAGTCTGCTAATAACTCAGGATTCAGATCATTCTATATATGGCCATCGGTAGACTCAATTCGAATTTCTATACTTAACAGAAATTATCAGAAATTTAAATCCTGGATGTGTCCCAGTTCCACATAATCATATTATTTGTAATACACTCATCCAATATCCCTCCATATTAACAGTGTGTATAACACTGTTCCATTTTTAATATGAAGAACATGTATTTTTAATGTTTTAATTAAAGATTCTAAAACTTTAATTAAATTCATTACGAACACATTTCGATTATTATTCTTGAATATTATCCTCACATATAACTCTTATATACAATATTTAAAGTTACATAAATAATTACAGAATTTTCAATGATATTCACAAAATATTCAATAATATATACGCATAAATTTCTCTTTTATAATATAGATAATAATATCCTTTATTAAATTAGATGCTTTTAGGATACTATTCCTAATAGATATAGATAATCATGTAGAATTATTTTTATATAAGATATATTTTCAAATGGTTTTAATGTTATTTAGACTGTTTTGGATTTTGAATTAATTACCTGAAGGCGTGAACTCTTTGGCCACGTCAGCCTAATATACATTGGGATATTGTATCCTTGGGATGAGGATCCAAAACCTAATGGGGACCACTGATATAGTGGTTAGCCTTGGAATAGTAAAATATGTAGATATAATATACCATAAAAGAGTTTAGGAGACGTTTGGTTCATGGATTAGAATCATGAGATTAGAACTATTTTCGATTTATGTATATTTTTTGTGAGAGAAAATACTGTAGCGAATCACACACCATGATTCGAATCGGGGTACGAATCCTCTAACCAAACAACACAATTTTGAAAGAGCTTATTTGTCCGTTATTTGTTATTTATTTGCTTAATTATTTTTCTTTTTTATTTATTTTTCTTTTTATTTACATATCCTACTGAGTCTTTCGCTCACTTTTAATGCTTTAAATTTTTCTCCTCCCAAGTTATGTGAATCTTTCAAGATAACGATTTTGCTTTGTGTAACTAAGCGGTGCTAGTTGCTCATAGAGATTTCAATAAGATGGTTTGAGATATAAGTTAGTTAAATTTTCAATATTTCTGTTATTTTTGTCCAATAATAGTGATGTACGTTTAGTCCTGATGTTGTGTAGAATTTTATATTCATAATATTTTAATTATTTATGGATATTTAAGCTCTCGCGAGACAATAATTTTATTATTGTTCTTAAATCATTCTTGTTTTTAACGGATTTAGGTGATTTAAATATGGGTTTATTTTACCTTTAATTTTAATTTAGTCACCGGCGTGACAATACCGTACTAGTAAGATGAGAAAAAACGAGCACCAAATTTGGGGCAAAAACCACAAAGCATAGAAGTGCAAAACTCAATACCAAATAGCAAATATAGTTGTGTAAATGGCTTTTCTATTATTCTGTTTACAAAAGTATTTCGTTTTCAACATAATATTTTTGAACATTGATGGAGTGGACCCTCATGCCCACAGGTAACGTACAACCAAACTTATTCCAAAGTGGACCGCTTAACCTTCTTGTTATTTTTCTTTTATCTTTTTATATATGTTATCACAAGACAATATTAATTTATGTGTTCGGTATAATTTGCATTTTTATTTGTGGTTATTCTAATTTCTATCCATTAGGCTTAATTTGTTGGGGAACACTAACGTCTCCACCTTTCGTTTTCAAACCAAGGATTGATCGATTACAGGATAATTAATTAGCCTTGCCACTCACATAATTAAAATTAAGGCCCTGTTTAGTTTGTTGATTAGAGTTTTTAATTCGAGTTGATATGTGATTTTATTTAAGAATTTTTTACTGTAGTAAAAAAATTAGATGTGACTGTTTCTGAGAGCTTTTTACTATAGTAAAACTCAAATTTTAAACTCAAATTAGTGAAATGAACGGAGTTTAAGTCGGCAACCGAATCGTCTCACAATTCAAGAATAGCCGTTTTTATTTTTATATATACGCACTCATATATGTATATAAGATAAAGAGACAATGCCAAGTGTTTATTTTAATTAAATAAATTTTGTATGCCTGATAAATAATATTTATTAGTAAATACGTTATTTACTTAAATCGTTTCAAAAATATACTACCTAAAAAATTATAAAAAAAATACTATTGTGTGTAGACGGTGGGGCAACAAGCAACAATTCTTTTTTTTTTTTTTTTTTTCCTTTCTTTAAAGAATCCCTTCTTAGAATACAAAAGAAACGACAACAAACTAAAAACTAATGGACAATATCAAATACATATGAGAAGTAAATGGCAAGCTAATGGCAAGGCTTTATTTGATGAAGCAGAGGACGAGATTTTAGTCAAACGACCTGTATTATTTATTACGTCCATTAAACAAAAAAAAAAATTATTCAACTGAATAATTCTACAATTACGACATTTATTTATCGGATAACATACAATTACAAGTGTTGACATTCCTTTATGAATGTCAGTCCAAGGCAAGCTTATTTATTTATTTATAGTTTACACTTGGTATTTTTCTAAACATATATAAAAGAACGTAGTGGGTTATTTTTTATCCCAGACACGTGTACAAACGCTAGTGGCTATAAAATATATAGGTGGGGTCCATGCAAACTGTAGGTAACGTTTGGTTCATGAGTTTAAAATTATAGTTTGTAATTCTAATTTTTGAAATTCAAATTTTTCTTAACAGATTAAGAACCATGATTCTAAACCAGACAGAACTCTTGAAACAAACGTAACCGCGGTTTCACACATTTTCCCCATTTACCCGGTTGAATTATCCAAGCAACCCAGAATCAAAAGACACTCCTGTAGAAGGCAACCAAGCATTCCCAGAGATAAAACCAGCAACTGTGAAGGAATTGGCTTGTGGAGCCGTAAGGGACGGATGATACCCGGCCCAATTAACCCTCCGGCCAGTTGAGGCCCCGGGGCCCGTATTCCTATACTCGGCGTAAAAAAGGGTTTTTAATGCAAACCCACCGGACCAAGGGTACCAGCCCGATGGGCTTATGGATCCGTCCAAGTAGGACTCCATGATCACAGTCCTGGAGTACTGCTTCCAAGGCCGGCCCAAATAGGTCTGGGACCCCGGTGCGGCGGATATCCGACAGTTGTGGATCGATATGCCGGTGTTCTGATCCGGGCTGGACCGACCTTGGGCCGTGACAAAGTTTTTGAGCCCACCTGAGGGGGGTTTTCTAGCGACAATGTTGCAGCTTTGGAAGACCACAGCTGAATTTCCAAAGACGAAATCAACAGTTCCATAGATATCAGTCTCTCTGTAGAATTGACGCTTGGAGTGGGTGTATAAAGTGTCTTGGTAGCCAATGATAGAACTTCTGTAGACAACTGATCTGTCGGACCCAACACGAAGGGCCACGGCCTGGTGCTTATATGGGCCTGCGCTGTTCATGATTGTTATGTCCTTTGCAATGAATCCATCTCCCATGGCACCTAGAAAATATTAGGTCAAAACAAAGTCGTGACACATACATATAGACGAGTTTTCAATAGTCATGGAATTTTAATTCTAGATACTGGTCAAATTAAACAATGAAATTTTATGTTAAATTATTAGCCATACAAATTTAGAAACACTTTTCTTTTTAAAAAAAAAAAATTTGAGTGAACAGTTAAGGTCTTGTTCATTTCAGCGATTCGAGTTTTTAATTTCAGTTTTTTTACAGTTATAATATTAGATCAAAACAAATTGGTGACACGTATGTATAGACGAGGTTTCAATAGTTATGAATTTTTAATACTGGATATTGGTCAAATTAAACACTTTTCTTTTTAATAAATTTGAGTGGACAATTAACTCTTCACTCCATTTATTTAAAAAAACAAAAAAAAAATAATTAAAACGTTGGCCACGTTAGGATTATATTTGGAAAAGGTGTGATCTGGTTTGAAGATGTCTCAAAGTTGTGCTCCTTGTTTTTTGACAGAAAAAAAAAAGAAGGAAGGAAGCGCCCAATTGCCCATGTATTTGTTTCTTTTAATTTTATATATGAGCTCCTTTGAGTTTTGGAGAATTCTTTGATGAGAGAAAGAGCCAATAATAACATTTTTAAAACAATATATATATTTATGGTAAAAAACGTATTTTAAAATATTTGTGGCAAATTATATATTTACAATAAATGGTTTATTTATGAAGGATATTTTCAATCAATTTGTCTCATAAACTAGTCTCGTCAATGAATAATTTACTGTACTATTTACTATAAATATTTTAAAATATTCTAATTTATCATAAATATATTTAAAAATGACGTATTTGCTATAATTTTCATTCTTTAATATTGTTAAGAAAAATAACCTATTTAGAGAACAATCAGACCAACAATTAGGCCACCTCATAATCATATCAATTAAGAAAAATATAATAATTTAACACAACATAATAAATAATTGACGGCGGTTAAAAAATTATGATAGTGACTTTTATTTTATTTTATTTTATTTTTCCATTCTCTACCAATATGCATTTTCTAAACGGAAAAAAACTTGATCGACAAATTTCATTGAGGATCTCTATGGCCCTTCCGTTCATGACAGGGTGGGTGTTTGATGTCGGCATTTTTTTTTCGTTTTCATCCCTAGACATTCCTTTCTACTGTTCTATACGACAACAATATATTCGTGGGGTCATATCTCTTGACTAATTAATTCTTGACCTACATGTGGTTTCAGTTAGCATATACGAAACGTACTCACCAAGCTAGGGTTTGTCCCCACTTAACTGGATATTCTTTTCAGCTCTAGTACGATCAGAAAAAATAAACAGAAATAGTAGAAAATAGGCTAATATGAAAAGTTTAAGAAAGTATATATGCCAATTTTTAGTTTTAGAAATTAATAGGCCATAACTTGTCAAGTTATAGTTCATAACCAGATAAGTTATGGATAAACTTGTCAAGTTATGGTTCATAGCCAGACAAGTTAAGGACAAAAACCATAAATTATGGACAATAACTTGTCAAGTTATGGTTCATAACCAGACAAGTTATGGACAAAAATAGTAATTTGGCCTATTTATTAACTTATGTAAACTATTGGTCTATTAATTTTAATTCATCTTAAGTCTTGGCATATTTTTCTCGATCTCCTAAAAATAAATTATTAATAGTTTTTATTTTTATTTTTAATAATTAGTATAAAAATTTATCTATTCTATATGTTTTTTCAATCTGGTGTGATTTTAACTTGATCCAACGATTAAAAACTGACACTACAATTAGGACTGACTTACCTCTTCCTCTATTTTGGTTGATTAGAACTTAGGAAGAAGATATTGTCTTCTTCAAATTTCTGAATAACTGGATTCATATATTATATATACATACTTCGCTGGTCTTTCTATAGCTGTAATTCTGATCACCTACACTAAAGCTACCAAGGAATTTTTTCAATTGACAATATCTATTTAATTTTGCCAGATGTTAGGACTACTACACTCTTATACGGTTATCTCATTATTATTAATGATGAAAATCATGCTCTTAAGCAAAATAATAATAATAATAATAACAAAAAACAAAAAAAAATTAAAAAAAATCCTATTACTTTTTTTGGCCAAGTGATAATGAATGAGACACGGAGTCACTACTCAGTTTTAGATAATTTTTATTTTTATCCTTTAAAACTTGCTAAAATTCTAGCTGTATCTTTATTTTCTTAAAAAAAAAAATTATTTATATAATTCTCCCCAATTAATAATTCAAATGTATAATTGTGTCTCTTAATTTAATAAATAAATTATTTTTAATCTTTTTATAGTACCCTTGCCAAAAGAAATGACTAAGAAGCTAACTTGGAAAACCGCATACTATTATTACCTGACCAAAAAGGAAACAAAGATTCTTCAGCAAAAGCAAAAATACAAATGAAAAATAGTAGAAAGAGTAATAAAGGAACCACAAAAAAAAAAAAACACAAAAAAAAAAAAAAAAAAAAAAAAAAAAAAAACTAATTAGTAAATTAGACTTAAGTCTATACTAGAAAATAAATGGACCCACGTTGTGACCAGGGAGGGCAAATTAGCTACTAGATTCCTTCTTTTGACTATTCAATTCAACTAGATGTTGCCATCATAACAAGAAATTCAGTATTTCTATTTTTATTTTCTCCATATTATTACAACTTAAGGACGAGCAATGGCTAATCCAATCGAATGTTACATACGCATCACTACTATTATTAACTATTCCTTCACGTATTCAAATATTAATGATTTTTTCATTGAAAAAGCAAATCATATGTTATGGATTAATATAATGAATAAAACGAAAAACAAAAAGATTTAATAAAAAGCCCTGCGAATTTGACTTGATTAACGTCAATACATGGTCCCTCCCAGACATAATAATTGATGTTAATTAGACTTGATCCCGAACCTCCACCTGATCTATTAATTATTGACAAAAATTGATAACAAATTGTGTGGAAATTCTAAGAGATTATTATAAGACTAACAAACAAATTAGAAACCACCGCCTTTAATGTCTTTACAAAAGGAAAAAAAAACATTTAATGCATGTTTATTTCGATAAGTGACATATATTTCCCTTTCCCACTATAACAAAAAGGGTTATTAGCGATGACATTATTAGCGACCACATTTATCGTTACTAAAATTATAGTATTAGCGACGACATGTCGTCGCTTAAAGAAAATAAAATTTTTGAACGACTTGTCGTCGCATTAAGTATTTGCGACGACATGTCGTTGCACAAAATTTACATATTAATTTACGATGACATGCCGTCGCTAAAATTGAATGGATTATTATTGACGACATGTTGTCGCTAATATCCATTAGTGCCAAAACCAATCTGACACCAATAATTTTGGCGTCAGTTTGTACATTATTTGTGAGGACATGTCAAAAATATTGATGGCTGGCAGTGACGTGACCAAAAAGAGGCGGGAAATTTACAAGAAACCTAAGGATTTTACAACCAAGAGGAAAAAAAAGATTTTCTCGAGAGGGATATTATTTATTACGTACTAAATCTACTGCTCATAGAAAAGAAGTGTTTCTTTTTTTTATCATTTTGCGATTTACATGCATGCTTCTTCTATTAAGTAAATGAACATACCGTTGTATTTGAGAAGAGTACGTATAGTTTATTTTTCTAAATATTATACATGTATAATATTTAGAAAAATAAACACACATATATGCGTGTTATGTATCCACAAAAATATTATATTTAATTCTTCATATTTGTCTGAAAATTTATTTTTTCCAATTCTTTTGCATATAAATATTAATTAAAAGCATTAGAAATATATACAGTTTGAGTTCTTTATAGTATTAATTGATTACAATACAACATACAACTATATGTACACACATACATGTATATATGAAATTTTTTTTAATAGTTACGTTTTTTTTTTGACAGTTTTCTATAAGATGTTAAAATTTAATGACGTAGTGTGATTATAACACAATTTTATTGATTGTCATAATATTTTTTATCAACTATCTAATTTATGACAATCATCGAATTAAAATCTTACTGTTAAAATAACGAAAAATTAGAGAGGAACCACCTGACAAATAAAAAATTAACCATTTGATTAATCCGAATTACCTAAAAAATTCTGAATAAATCAATTTTATATGACGTTTTTTTCTCTAGCTTCCTAGTCAGTTGGGATATTTTGTCTGCCTCTAATACTAAACTGTCTCTCCTCATCATTTACCTCAAAAAAAAAAAAAAAAAAAAAAAGTCAATAATAATTGTTCACTAGTACTACTAAAATGACTACGTACTAGGCTACTACAAGATACAAATATGTGAGAAACCTAGCTACTAGTACTACCTATTTTAAAAATAGAAATAATAATAAAAAAAATAAAAAAATCTTACCAATAATAACAAAATTAATAAGGGTCATCAGAAATTTTAATGATGGTTATGACTGTCGAAAAAAGAGTGAGAAATAATATATTACTTACCAACAGTTGCAGAATTATAAGTAGTCGACCCAGCTTCAGAGTTTTTACTACCCACAATGATGCTTTTGCCCTTCCCATCTCCGTACAGCAAAACGTTCTTCTGCTTCGTCGGAATCTTAATATACTCATTATACGTCCCAGCCTTAACGTAAATTACCGATCTACCCCCGGACGCCATTGAAGCCGCCAAGTGATCAAGAGCTTCACCTATACTCCCGTGGGTCCCACTCCCATCCTTCGCCACCACCGCGTGCGGCTCAATCTCCTCCACCGAAGCTTCCAGAAGCTTCCTATCTGCCGCCGACACCCACGCCGGGAACCCCTCACCGCCGTCCGACAGCAATCTCCGGCCACCGCGGATGTTCTTGTTCGGTTTCGAGGTCGAAAGAAAAAGCGAAAGAGAGTTGCTTGTGAGCTGAGAGAGAGCCTTTGCCGTCGACGTTATGGCTCCGTCGATATGGTGCTTTTCGAGGCCGTCGAGGCAGGTCTCTTGGTTGGTGAGAGCGGCACTGAGCCACGTGTGGATATCATCGTCGTTTTCAGGCGCCTTAAGGCCCATTTTTGTGTCTTTTCCGTACGAAACGACGCTGGAGAGGAGGTCGATGGTGTCGTCGAGGAGATCGAGGCAGTCGTTGAGTGCGGAGGCGAAGTGGTGCCCGGTGACTTTGGAGGAAGCGGCGGTAGAGATATTGTAGGCGAGGGAGCGAGCCGAGTTGATCTCGGAGATGGAGTGCGCGACCGAGCGGTCGAACAAAGCCTGTTTGTTTCTCGGGAAAGTGATGGAATCTTTGAATAGTGTTTGGCAGGCTGATGGGTATGGGGTGTTTTTGCAAGCTTTGGATGGGAATGAAGTAATGGAAGGCTCTTTGTAAAAGTACTTGGCGAAATGGGATTGTGAGGATTTTATTTGCTCGGCATGGGACAAAGTTGATGAGATAAATATTGTGAATAATATTGACATGTAATAATAATATTGGAGTTTCTTTGTTTGTTTTTCGTCGGAGAACTTTGGCATTGTTGCCATTATTTAGTTTGCTCTAATATAATAGAATTGAGATAGAGATCATGAGTATGCTTCGAATGCTTAAACCTATCATGGTTTATATAGAGTTTTTCCACGTTAACAATGGCCTCGTTGAGGATATGGCTTTTACGTATATCACTTGGAATATTAGATGAAACGTCAATATTGTTGCATATAGATGGACATATTAGTAATTTACTAATAAGAAATCATGAGTGTTTTTGTTTTTCTTTAGTTAATCTTGTCATGATGGTCTAAAGTATGTGATGTCTTTTAACATTTTTATGACAAATGATCTTTACCCAAAACTTTCATTAACTATATAACATTTTTTTTTTCCTGAATAGATTTTCAAATTTATAATGCCAGTAGTTATGACAATTAATGTGTGATCATTCAATTACACACAGATACACACGCGCGCGCGCTAACATATATCGTAGTCTGGAATATGTACTTATACATGCATTATATATATAAGTATGTATACATTATATTAGGCTTGTATGGTTGTCTAATTATTGATAATCAACTTTTGAACATCATAGAAAGGCGCTATAAATACATGATACTATTGCTGATTCCTCTTGTAATATCTACAGTGACCTTAACACGCGTATGAGAGAACGCGAAAGAATACGTTAGAAAGCAAACTTCGACAGAACAGTTTAATGACGGTCATCATATATAGTGTTAATAGGTCCACCGTTTGCAATAGTTGTGCACTTTTTTTGGTTTTTTGTTTCTTTTTGTAAAGAAAATATAGAACAATAATGTAAATCCTTATCTAAAAGGGTACCACGTACGCATTCATATATATATATATATATATGCATATATAGCATCTAGAATCACCCAAATTTTAGTTTGAATTCAAATATATTATAACTAGTAATAATATTTGATCATCGAGAAATTAATTAAAATACTTCTTTCTCTCCGTCTCATGACATGGAGTTGGCCAAAATAGTGCCAATGTCGTTTAGTTATATTGAGTTCCGTGTGCATCACTCCTTGCTAATGATCTGTTTCCTACTAAATGGGGGGAAAGAATAGTATCAAGGTTTTTTCTCTTCTTCTCATGACTTGAGCAAAATAGTGATAATGTAGAAACAAGACTAAGTAGCCGGGTCGTGGTCCCAAGTTTTTGTCAAACATCTAAAATATATAATATCATTGTAATCAATGTGAATTTATTTTGTCTATAAATAAAGGTAGCTAGTATCAATTCCTTTAAAAATATTTGTGGAAATATAACAAGCGCTTATCTAATGAGTTCAAATTAATAAATTTAAAGCACTATCAATGAATATTTTAAGAAAAAAAAAATCAGAAAATATGGTTCTCCCTTAATTATGCTTCTAAAACGTCTTTTCTCTGAAAGACAAGTAATTTAAAAACAAAAAATAAAAATAAAAAAGCAACAAATTACTCCAAATAATAAATAAATAGAAATATGCTCTATGAATCTAAGTCAAAATATGAATAATACTATTTTCACCGCATTTTATCAATTTTAAAACTAGAATATATGATCCACAGGTTTTTTTTTTTTTGAATCAAGATTTGTTGTCTCATTTTTCTGTCTCGATGACTCTCCCTCTAATTAAATCTTGACATATGATGTTTTGTTTTAAGTATTTTTAATATTTTGTTCCTATTTATGTGGTCATATTCTTAAATTTAGAGGACATGACAAATAATTAATGGAGAAGCTATCGGGATAAAAAAATGGAAACAGTAGATTTGGACTCTTTGTTTTTGGGCCCATATATATTAACCATGCATGATAGTATTTAATTAAGATAGTACATGTTTTCGAACAAGTGAAAAAAAATATACAAAATTAACTTAATGTGATGCATATCTTACAATTCAAAATAGAGAATTTCTCGCTAAGTTTTTTTTTTTATTATTCTCAAGCTAGGATTGAATTTGATAAAATGAAGACATATATATATATATATATATATATATATCTGGTGGATTCTATGGGAAAAAAAATAGGGTTATAAATATGTGTGTGTGTGTGTGTATCAAGTGTAAAGTTGAAGTCATGCACGCCGTTATTGACATTGCATTAATGAAATTGGTGATCGCTCTTTGGGAGCGTAACGTAGCAAATGAAGGAATCTTTGATGATCATTTTCGAATACATGTTTGATTATTTGTTGCAGCTGGGTCAGAACTGATAAGAAAAGGCAACCAACTTTTTAGCACTAAAACGACTGGACAGCATGCAAACGGGGTCCACTGTGGGACGTTTTTGGTGTTGTGGATATAAATGATCCACTCAGGTATCTTATGTCTGACGTTTTAGTAATCTATTTCTTTATAAATAAATTAAACGTGAAAAACTCGAGAAATAATTAGAGAGAATGAACCCATATGGGTAATATATGTGTGTGTAAATAGCTGTATAATTATGTTTTTAACTTAATTAATTTAGTTAATTAGTTATATATTAAACTAATTAGCCAATATATTTAGTGCCCATGGAAATTAATAAAATTAACGTATTAAGAATATTAATCAATGTTCTTGTGATTTAGGTTTTACAATTTTTAAGGACTTTTTGGACACTATCGATTCCTAAATTTTTCAAGAAGTGCGAGCTGCAGTTTGGTTCTTTAATCTATAACTGAAAAATTTTCGAGAAGTAATTAACTGTTTGATTCTTAGTCTATAATTGAAACTATTGTGGTCCATCTTTAAAAAAAAAAAAAAAAATGAAGTTAGAAAAGTATCGATGACTAACATTCATATGAATATGAGGATTACTATCACCAATGTCGTTTGAATTTTAGGATCATTCTCAGTTTATCTCCTAAATTTTGAAAATTTTCACTTTGTCCTCTGAGTTTGAATTGTTTCCACTTAATATATAGAAAAAAAGAGAAGAATATAGTCACGTTGTCTTTCTGTTAAAAATGAACAGATAAAAACCACATGATCACACTTAATCCCTTCTTTTTTCATCTAATTTTAGCAGAAATTACAACAAAGTGGTTTAAGTGAAAACAATTTAAAATTTAAAGGATAAAGTGAGAGTTTTTAAAGTTTAGGAGACAAATTGAGAATGTCCCTAAAATTCAGGAACACCTATAAAAATAATCATATTCATATATTTTAAAGGAATATGAAGAGTAGTGCATTTATTATCAAACTGAAAATACAAAATGGAGGGAGAAATAAATATACATAAATTTAAATATATATATATGTATGTATAGATAATTTGATATAGATGATCGGACAAGCATGATTTATATACCAACCATTCCACAGCCAAGTCTTTAAAAGTTTGCAAAAGGATTATTATTCATTTGATCTTCTGAAATATGGATATAAATCAATAATTAGTTAAGCTGGTTCCTTAAATGTAGTTCACGCAAGCCAGCGGGCACTTATGAAATAGGGACAAAACTCTCAACGAATCCACGATTGTGATAAAATTGGACTAATCCATCATAGAGTGCGATATATATTATGACATCGGGGGCCAGGTTCTCAAAAGCAAATATCAAAAAGTCTTTGGGTTTTTGGCACAGTTACCCCCGAACTTGCTGCGATTTAGTAAATTATCCTCTTACTTTTAATTTTGACAAGTTGTCTACTGAATTTCTAAATTTGTTGTAATGTGCCATATTTAATTAAATTTGCTTAAATTTTTTATTAGATTTAAGAGATTAAAAGTTAAAATATTAAAATATTTGTATTACATTGAATTGGAATGTTGAAATTTTTAGTTGAACGTGATTTTCTGACACTAATTTAATACAATCGTCATCAAAATGGGACATATTACAACAACTTTATAAATTAAGGGATCAACTTGTCAAAATTAAAGTTTGGAGAGTAATTTGCTAAATCACGATAAGTTTAGAGGGCAAATGTGCTAAAAGTCATTGATGTTAATACTGTCTCTTTTTATTTTTGGCTAACAAAAGAGACATGTGTATATATTACAATTTTAAAAAAAAATTATAATTTCCCTGTGTGACCGCTGAACTTTAAAACCCATTAAAATTTTGAATTAGTTTCACTTAGTTCCTTATATTAAAATTTCTGTCAAAAACAGCCGGAAAAAAAGGAGAGAGCAATCAAGGGATCTTTTTGTTATATTTTTGTTAAAAATAAACTAGACAAAAGTCATAGAATCACACTTGAATCCCCACTTTTTCTGTCTAATAATTGAAGTAAGTGGGGGTAAGATGTGGGAGTTTTTACAGTTCGGGAGCTAAATGAAAATGATCCTGAAATTCAGGAGTATCGCTGAAATTAACCCAAAAAGAAAAAAAAATAATTTTATTCAATGGTACCTATGGATATTATATATGTCAGCATGTACAGGTGATAACATGCACCTAATTTATCTTTATTAAGTCATCTAATTTGATTATAAGAACTATTCCGTAGAATCAGTAAAAGATAGAACGAAACTTTTTGAAAACTAAGGTCATGATACCCTTTTTTTTTTTGTATAACTACAGAAATTTCGTTAAAACCTAAAGAGAAGTGAGTTTAATATCATATACGATCTTGACTGCACATTGCCTCTTATTGCGGATTTCGCATGAAGATTTAGGGTCCGTTCGGTTCGCTAATTCGAGTTTTTAATTTGAGTTGAGATGTGATGTTGTGTGAGAGCTTTTTACTGTAGCAAAAAAGTTAGATATAACTGTTTCTGATAGTTTTTTACTGTAACAAAACTCAAATTCTAAACTCAAATCAGTGAAAAGAACGGAGCCTTAGACCTTTTTTTTTTTTTTTTTTTTTTTCCCTTGGTTATGATTGTACGAGAGTTCTTTGGACGAATATTGGTAATGCTTTTGGTGTCCGATTTGATTTTGATCAAGATTTGCTCAATTTCCTCTTCCTGTCTCTGGAAGCTGATAGCTAGCGATTGCTTGTTTTCGCTGAAAAATTTAGTGTATTGCTCGTAATCAGTTGATTTTCAAAAGAGCACTCCCTTTTCATCCTTATAAGTAAGTGAAACTTAACTTATTAAGACTCGCCTTTTTGTGAGTGA